AACAATCCAATGCACGTTTTAACACTTAAATCTACTCCAAATGAGCTCAAATTTAAAACATAAATCTCCAAATATCATCAAGAACAAATTCAATTATTATTTTTGCCAAAAACAACAATAAATCTAACAAACCCATTTTGCAATAAAGGAGAAGAAGAAGAAACCTAAACAGTAGTAAAAAAATAAAGCGCCACAGCAGCTTACCACTGTAAAATACCCTAAACTACCTTAAAATATGCTCACAAATACCATATGAATTCACTGTCACCATTATTTTCATAGGGAAGAAGAAGAAGAAGAAGAAGAAGAAGAAGAAGAAGAAGAAGAAGAAGAAGAAGGAGGAGGAGAAGGAGGAGGAGAAAAAGGCCTGAAGTTATCTAAAATTTAGGTACTAGATAAAAAAAAAATTAAAAAGTGGGTACAGATTATTTTATAAAATATTAAAAATTAAAAAGTGGGTACAGAAAAAGGCCCGTGTAATTTTTACGCTTACAAATACTATTTTATGCTAGTGGAATAAAATTTGGGCCCTAAAAGTAGGCCTAATATTTAGAAGAAGAATTTTCAGAAACCACTATTGTTTAGTGGCTATTAATTTCCTATAGCTACCATATACATAATTACTTCTATAGCTACTATTCAGTTATTACGGTAGTGTATTCACATGTATTCGCGTTGTTGTATTCATGAATACAGCAGCAAAAAATACCTAAAATCAGGGCAGTTCAGCTGTACGCGCATATATTCACATGTATTTGCGCTATGTATTCATGAATACAACAATAAAAAACGCCTAAAATCAGGGCAATCCTGCTGTACGCACATGTATTCACATGTATTCGCGTTACTGTATTCATGAATACAATAACAAAAAGTGCCTAAAATCAAGGCAGTCCAGCTGTACGCACATGTATTCTACATGTATTCGCGTTGTTGTATTCATGAATATAGTTGTACGTGCATGTGTTCCCATGTATTCGCACCATGTATTCATGAATACAGTAACGACAATCCCTTAAAAATAGGTATGTCTGACTGTCTAAGAGAGAGAGAAAATATAAATAGCGTATTTCATGCATCAATGATAGTATATACCATAAAAAACTTATTTTTCTATAAAATATAAAAGGTTGTTATAGAAAATAATATTTTAAAATAATTTTGGTTTATAATAAATAGGGTGTATACCTTTGCTATAGGAGGTATAAAATTTCCTTAGAAGAATTAACCTAGTAGTCGTCCACTCAATCACTTAAACTTAAAATAGCCGATAAATGTATAATATATGTATAATCCATTTATATATGTGTATAGATATGTATAATCAGTGTATAATCCATGTATATCGATTAGAAAAAGTAAATAATGAATATAACCGGCTATTTGTGTAAAAAAGGTAAAATTACATGTAAAAAATAATAGCCGGCAAAATGCTTGTTTTTGTATATTAGTGTATAATATACAAAATTTATACATAATCAATGTATATTTTTATAAATTTAACTATCGTATATAATTATTTTTGACTAATCGATCAAATATATAACTTGCCCTTTATAATTTCCAAACCCAAGAGTGCCATTTCCATATTCACTTATCCCAATTTCCACATGTTTGAAACTTTGCTCTGAAAACGTCAAACTATGAAGTCAAGAATCATTAATAAATAGTAGTTGTAAAGACCAAAATTGTACACTTTTTTTGCTTCAGTAAACTACAACGAAGTTGAGTGCTTGACCTGAATAGTTTGACCCCATTGCATCATTAAGTAAAAAATTTGAAGTATAAATCATTCTCCAGAGAGATTTACAGTGCTAATATTCCCTTTTTTGGTTCAAGATTTTGCTCAAATCATGGAGATTTCAAATTTCACAACAAAATCTTTCTTTCTTGTCAGCAATATTCTTGGCTTCCTCTTATTTGGCAGAATTTATCTCTGTAGTGCTACAGAGACTGATATTCATTGCTTGAAATCAATAAAAGATTCATCACAAGACCCTTTCAATTCTTTGGACTCTTGGGATTTCAGCAATTCTACTGAAGGTTTCATCTGCCGTTTTATAGGAATTGAATGCTGGCATCCTGATGAGAATAAGGTACTGAACATCATGCTTTCCAAAATGGGATTAATAGGTGAATTTCCACGTGGCATTCAAAATTGCACAAGCTTGACTGGTTTAAATATATCAAATAACAACTTGTATGGAACTATCCCTTCTGATATATCAGTGATACTTGAACATGTCACAACACTTGATCTCTCAAACAACACATTTTCTGGCAATATACCACCTGATATAGCTAATTGTGCCTACCTTAACATTCTAAAGTTGGAAAACAATAATCTAGAAGGTGAAATTCCAAGCAGAATAGGCGATTTGGTTCGCCTTAAGACGTTCAGTGTAGCCAACAATCCAGGGATTTGTGGGGAGCCCTTGAATAAATGTGAGGATATTTCAGAGGATAAGTGGAAAGATACTTGTTCATTCATCCAAGGGTTTGTGATTGGTTGTAGTCTTTCTCTTTTTTCAATTTCCTAGAAAGACTATCAACAAGATAATATTCTCAGTGAACAAATGGAAGCTGAGGTCAAAGCAACATGTAACTTCAGCTAAATTGAGCAGCAACCACAAGGTAAAAATTCTGCAAAGTTTTTAGCTTTTTCCTGCATTGTTAGGCTGCATTCCAAATACCATGCATAGTTCATTGGCTGCTTTAGTTCTACTTTCTTGAATATTTTTGGTTGTTGTTGTTTCCGGTGATTCAATACGTTTTTCTACAGATACTAAAACTGGAGAAGTTTGTTAGTAGAATGAGTTTCATGGAGCTGGAAAAAGCAACTTCTGGTTTTAGTGAAGACTATTTAGTAGGAAATGGAATGTTGGGCAAAGTGTACAAAGCAATTCTACCAAATGACTGGACACTTGCTATCAAGAAGTTCAATGATTGGGAAAATTTGGAGGAAGAGTTTGTCTCTGAGATTACAACTCTTGGTGGTCTGAGGCATCAGAACTTATTGCCTCTTATAGGTTTCTGCGCTGAAAAGGAAAAAAGACTTCTTGTTTACAAATACATGCATAATGGAAATCTTCATGAATGGCTGCACTCGACCGAAGATAATGCCAAGATTTTGGACTTCCATTTGAGGGCTAAGATTGCGCTTGGGGTAGCAAAAGGCCTGGCTTGGCTTCATCATGGGCACGAATTACACGTTACACACGGGAGCATAAGCACACGGTGTATATTGCTAGATCAATATTTTGAACCTAAAATATCCAACTTTTGGGAAGCCAAATTTTGGAGTAAGAATGACACTGCATTAAGTTGGAGTCTTTTTCCAGTAGCTGAATATTCAGGTTTAGGTTCTTACAAGCAAGACATCTACTGTTTTGGTGTTGTGCTTCTTGAGCTGGTAACTGGGAAGGAACCATATGAATTGACCAGCTCGAGAAATCTATTTGATCACTCGCCTTGTCTACTTGATGCAGATAGACATTTGCTTGGAAAAGGAGTCGACGATTTAACCCTCCAGTTTCTTGAATTAGCTTGTAACTGTGTGAAGTTCTTTCCTAATAAAAGGCCAACAGTGTTGGAAGTGTATGACACACTGAGGTTAATTTCTCAGGGTCGAACGGACTTGGTATGAAAAATACCCTTATCAACTGAGATTTCAAGTCTATATGACTAGTGCTGTAGTTTATCTGGTTACTCAGAAGACAAAGCATGAGCAGACCAAATTAAAGTTTGAAAGCCATATTTTGAGTCTGTATGCTGATAGATTTTGTTGCAATTGTCATAGCTATGAATCTGTATATATTCTACAACATTGGAAAGCCTTATTTATTGCATTTGCAGTTTCTAAAAAGAGTTCACAAAAGACTGATGCTGAATTTATTTAGTTTGAAAAATTATAGGCAATTTCTGAGAGTGTGATATCTCACACCGTGTAAATCCTTAACACTTCTCCCTCTTACTTGACTACAGAATGTTCTTGTACATTATGGCCAATACCAGGTATATAAGCAGTGATTTCAAATCCACAGGTTAATCCTACTCTTGCAACTTTATGCAAGGCGGAGTTTGGTTTTTCTGGGGTGATAGTGGAAAGTTGACAGCTAAGTCACCCTTACTGCCACTCTACAGAACCGTACATGAGATTATCACCTCATACGGCCTCCTTCCGGGAGCCCGAGCCATCAGTGAGATACTACTCATGAAGTGCTAGAATTCTAACCTTGTGTTAGGACCTATGGGCCAAGGGACAGTCTCAGGTAGACAGTTTATATGGGGTGTAGGCCTCCCAAAAGGTAACCGAGGCTTGCAAAGTTTTCCTCGGGCCGGACGAAGATTGGCCCAAGAGTGCAAAGGCAGAAGGGAGCTTAGCTGCAAGATCCACCCGTCTAGCAGGGATGTAAGTTGGCCTTAGTGATCCGACGGTGCCAGTCGCTGAAAATAGCCTTGAGCAGACAGAACTACATGCTTTTACAGAACTAATAAGATTACTGAAACCTATAGAAAGTTCAGACATTAATATTGAACATTTTAGTTTGCTAGCTGTGNCAAAAAGTGGTTAAAGCATGGGTAAAGTAACATTAACACATATCGAAATATGCCAAACATCAGTGACAATTAAAGCATTTAATTGACACTTCTAATGGAGCAAAGGAGAAAGATATTCTATTACATTGAATAATGGGGATAACATTTTCTGTCTTTAATTAGCATTGCTAGGCCAGGCGATTCCAGTCACACCACAGGCTCAAGCAAGCACTTAGTCTGAGCAATTAAATTCAACCACTGGCTCTCTTGTCTAAATTAAGAGCTAAATATACATAAAAGAAAATAAAAAGGAAAAGAACCCTTTTTCTTGAATTTTCCTTTATAAACAACTAGTTGGCTGAATTATGCCAGAAGTTGTTCCTGCAGCATTAGCACAAGAAGCTTGAGCAGCTGGTTGATTCTTATAAGTGAGATGAACATCTTCTAATGTTATTCCTCGGCATGGATTTCTTTTACTGCAATCAAATTTCATAGCGACTCGTGTTGCTGAACTTCCATGTATATCTTGATATGTAACATCACTAATCGTCACACCTGACACCTATGAATCAAGAAAATCAGGAAATATCTGGCGAATGTAGTGCTAACTTAATTGAATTTTACACCAAAGGGTAATGGTTACATTAAAATTCATACCTGGCCAGGACAATTTTTGTTGTATGGGCAGTAATTCTGATCAATAACAATTGGGTTTTGAACGTTTATCATTGTAGCATGTTGGAAAAGAACATTCTTTACAAAGCCAGTACTTGGTCTGCCCCATGTTTTGATCCTAACACCATTTTGTGTGTTCCTAAATATAACTGATCTGACTGTCACATTTTGCACCCCTGCTTCTTGAAAATCCTTGCCTAAACTCCCAATGCTGCAACAAAATTCACCACCATATCATTGTATTAGGGATTTAACTTATTCACCGACAAAGTCAATATTTTTACACTATCAGTGTATTTTATCTGTTGTAATACAACAATAAATACGCTCCAGTCCCAACTAGTGGGGGTCGGCTTTCATCTATTATAATACACCTGCCTTAATTTTCCAAGTTACTAAAGGACAACCCGGTGCAGTAAGCTTCCGCTATGCTCGGAGTCCGGAAGAGGGCCGGACCACAAGGGTCTATTGTACGCAGCCTTTCCCGCATTTCTGCAAGAGGTTGTTTCCACGACTCAAACCCCTGACCACCTGGTCACATGGCAAGGCTCCCCTTCAATATTTTCAAAGTTACTGATCCCACTTATTACATAATTATTATTACCTGACTCCATGGCCAGGGCCACAAGCCATGTTTTGGATCCACAAGTTAGTAGTTCCAGGGCCAATGGAGATGCAATCATCTCCGGTACTGATTTTCGAGTTCAAGATCGAGATGTCAGACGATAATTGAACGTGAATACCATCAGTATTCGGGCTTTTGCCAGAGGCAAAAACTCTGACAGCCTGCAACTTCACATTTTTGCACCCATTGAAGACAATGTGAAACATTTGGCTGTTCAATGAAGTTAGTCCTGTTATTGCTATATTGTTTGAGTTAGAAAATCCCAGAGTCTGCAATAACAAGAATTTAAGTCAGCATTTGAACATTATGAAGCAAGAAATTGGGTTATTGATTTCAGTTCAAAAGCAGCATTTAAAATTCTTATAGTCTAAGGTCAAAACTCCTTATTATCACAAGAGAATTTAATCCTACATTTGAAAAAATTAAATAAACCATAATACCAGGGTTGAAAATACTTGGACAGTTACTTACATATATCCTTATTTAAAGGAAACGTTACACTCATCTAGAAAATTGCTAATTCTGAGAAATGAACAAGTTTTGGATTTGTTTTCCCAATGTGACCAGAATACTTAACCTTCTATTGACCACACCAAGTCATTAATGAAATTTTTAACAATGTGTACAAGTAAAACACTTAATTATACAAAAATTCAACTTCTATACACTGACGACAGTGAAATTTCACACATTCTCTGGTTATCTAAAAGCTAAACTACAGATAATTACAACAAGTTAAAGTACACTAAAAAGGGAAGCCCGGTGCACTAAACTCCCGCGATGCACAGAGTCCGGGGAAGGGCCGGATGACAAGGGTCTGTTGTACGCAATCTTACCCTGCATTTCTGCAAGAGGTTGTTTCCACATACCTCCTGGTCACATGGCAACAAGTTACGCCAAGGCTACTTTCAAAAAGTTAAAATACACTGATAGCATAAAAATTTTACGACTTACAGTAGCACCGCTCGGGCAGTTCTTGCCGGAGGCTTTGCAACTCCACAAAGAAGTCCCTTGGCCATCAAGAATCCCACCATGAATAGAAACTCCATCAACACCTTGAAACATAATCCAATTTTTGGAATTTCCAATCACATTATAATCAGAGGGTGCAATAAGTGTGCCATCAATTTTGAATGTTATGGCTCTATTCTTGCATTTTCCTTTAAAATGTGCTTGTTTAACCAAATACTTTCCTTGTGGGACAAATATAGTGGCTGGTTTTAAAGAGCCACAAGCTGCTGCCCAAGCAGTTAACAAAGCCCTTGTTGAGTCAGTTTGTCCATCTGGTTTTGCACCCAAATTTAGAACATTTAATGTCACAACATCAGCTATGGCTTCAGTCAAGAAAATGGAGAGAAGTGAAATAAGAAGAAGAGAAAAAATGGGGTTCTCCATTTTCATATTTTGATGAGATATGAAGTGATCAAAGACTAAAACAGAGAATATTATTAGAGTTGAGATGATGAGTGGTTGAGCAGTTTGAGTTGAGATATTTGTAATAGAGCTCTACAACTTGTTTCTTTCTTTTTACTATTCAGTTTTACACTTCATGAAAGAGTGGTGTTTTGTGAAATACAAGTGGAATAAAAAGAAAGAAAACTGAAAAATGCAACTTACTTTACTTCAAGATCGAAAATTTTTGAGAAAGAAGAGAAACATTAGCATATCTTGGTCACATGTTAAAGACTTTAGACACAAAAAGACAGATTAAAACAATTACTACTAACTGAAAGTTTTTGCAAGAAACTAAAGGAAGCACTTTGAGCTTATGTTGATTGGAAGTCTTTTGGTTTTCCTTTTTTCTTTCTTTTTTCGGTTCATTAAACAGAAAAAAATAATACTGAAAACAGAGTATTTTTGAGATGAGAGAAACCGAAAGTCAGTTATTAAAGACTCCATATAAACTTCTTCAACCCACGACCCACGAGAAAGAAGAAGAAAAAAACAGATGTTTTATGAGTTTACTTCTATACAATATTAATAATGTAAAAGAAGTTCTACACTATTACATCCGCCTAAAATATAATTATAGTAACTGTGCATAATAATTAAACTCTATAACCAAAAGACTAAGAAATTCAACCAACTATAACAGATTAAATAACACTGCTAGTAGGAGTGTACAAAGAAAATCAGGCAAACCGCACCAAACTGATAATCCGAGTCAAATCGAGAAAAAAAATCCAACTATGGTTTAGTTTGAATTGGGGAAAAAATCCGCCCATAATTGGTTTGGTTTTAACTAAAAAAAAGTCAAACTGAAACCAAATCAACTACATATATAGAAGTAGAAATTTTAAATATATTCAATACATTAAAATATTTATTCTATTGTAATCTATATAAATATATAAAAGAGGGACAAGAGATGATGGCGTGACACCTCTCTAAAGTTAGGATTATCTGTTCTCTCATTTTTTTGGACTGTTTTCCTGAATTTCTCCTTATTTTCTCTTATTCTTTAGTTAAGTGGAATATTTTGTTTCCTCCGTGACAACTAATCGAGTAGTTTTTCCAAGCGTTTTGCTTTCCACCGTTTTCAAACTGTTACAACTTCTCCAAACTTTTTTTTATCTAATAAAGTTTTCATAAAATTAATAAGGAATAATAGTACCCAAACAGTGGAGGCCGTCCAATTTGGGCGTGACATGGCCTGATCTTCTGTTATTGGGGCGACAATGATTTTGTGGATGCATCTCCAGCCTTCTTCATACCAACAGTTGTAGAAGTAGACGGTGAAGGAACACCAGATTTGCAATCTGAAACAAGAAACCCAACCTTGCTTCTATTGTTTGCCGTTTGTATTGGGTGCCTAATGAAGGCTCGCTTTCTGGCCAAAATGATCAACAAAGTAAGCATCAAAGGGACTGATTATTGGCATCAACACAGTTGGGCTTTATTAAAATTTAACTTTGGGTAAAAATTTAAGACAATGACGGGGTACTTCGCTATTAAACATTGAATATGTCTTGCCCTTCCTTTTGATCCATTTTGATAATCTGATAAAATTCTAATAATTTTCTTATGTTGTAGGCATCAGCAGCGTTGCCTTTGTTTTATTCTGTTCAAAATTTTGTTCCATTATTTGGTTTGCACTTTTTTTCTGCCTGTTGTAATACGCATAATGATATCTGATCTGCAATACAAAATTTTTGTGGATCTACTCTTTCCATCGGGATTTATTTATTACTATGACACAAAGGCAAAGAAACGCAATGGAAAAAGGGATTCATATTGCGCGTTCATGTCGGAAAGGCCGGCTCTCTCGAAGTA